TATGTTCAGCAAAATTCCCAGCCATGTATTTGCTGTGCATTCAGGCGTTTTACACGGAAACTGAAACGTCACTTGTATGTTATGAAGCTGGGTCAGAAAGACTCTGTTATCTAAGATCGGTTTTTTGACATTTATGCGGTTTCTAGGTTAGGTTTTCTGCCCAGTTAGCCTGACACAAATTTAGTATGGAAAGTTCTTCATAACATAGCCGGTTCATCTTTAATTTCGGTCCACCAATGTCCTATCTTTAATTTTTAAAGGATTTTGCAAAATAATTGCTACATTATGGGCTTTTATAAATTTCATGGATACATTTTCTACAATGTATATAAACTTGGTCTGGTAATTCGAAAGAAATTATCAGCAGTACAGTTGGAGTAAGTATTTCTTGAATTAATCTTCTATAAAATTGTATCTTATCTTATATCTTATTTAGTAAAACAATTAAATAACTAATATTGTTTATTTAAAAATTATTATCAGGTATTATAACTGAATAAAAGAGCTGAAAATCAAAACAATACCCGCGAATTAAAATACTTTCGTTATTTATTTTATACATGATCTTTCATCTCTTAATAGCGACATCGTTAAAATTAGGATGCTAACTCTCATATTTTACCTTCTACTAAAATTATAGAACTATAATTATAATTGGAAATATTATATAGAGAAACATTGATCTGATATTTTCAAAGTAAACAACAAAATTTTTACTGAACGGATAGTGATATATTATACTGAAGTATATATATTAGACTACTATAATGTTTAATATTATTTTTGATAAATTTATACTTTGTTTCATATGCTATAGTAGGAAAGACTTGGTACTGTTGTGCCACTTTTTATCAGCAATAATTTGGTTGATTTACTAGCTAGCTAGGAGAAAAGTAAATTTAATGGTTATTTGAACTAATTTCTCTACGTGAAAATACTGAAATACTATGCTTAAATACGATGCCTCAGTCATAAAATCAAATCATACAAACAAGGGCACAACCGCCCAAGGATAAAAAACAATAGATATAAATGATTTATAACGACTTTAATTGTCAGAACTATGCAACACAACACAACATAATCATTGACACAAAGCCTATGAATATAATATATAACAAAACATAATTTTCTAAACTGTTTATCTTTTCAAATTTCACTCAGACAGGACAAGAAGTACGTGTCACATAAAACAAAACTAATTTGTAGTAATTAACCATTAATGTTTAACTTACAGCAAAATAACAAAGAGATCTATATGTATACAAGTAGGAGTTATTATTAAAATAAATTGAACAAAAAAACTTATACCTTTGGCTGTAGGGCGCTGACTCAATGCAATAATGGAAACTTGTTCGAACAAACATACATCATCTTTCTTCTTTTGTACCTTATTTCCAAATCAATATAGTTAGGCTGTATTGGCAACTTCTGTAATTTGGCACAACCGTGCCCAGTCTCTCCCCTATACTTTTTTAATGTCGAAATGTCTTGTTAATATTAAAATATGGCGATAAAAGTTCTAGTAAATTTTCCAATTGAGCAAACTTCATAATTAAAAAATATGAGCCAATAAATGTAGCGGAATATTATATGAACAATAAATTATTTTTATATTTACGTACCGTAAAATCATTTCATTAACAATATTGCATTTTAAACTAATTTGAATGCTGTATAAAAATTTAATATTAGTTGCATATAAAATTGTTTGATTACATTATAAAATATGCATCTATTCTAGCATTTTATGGTTTACTGCACCACAATTCATATTGCAAAGCAAATATTTTCACAATGCTCATAACTCAATCATCAACGAGAAAAGTTCGTAAAAAATAAAAATCCGCACAAAAACATGCTTTTCTTTTATAAACAGGTTTTTCTTTTGTTAGCAAACAATGCAAAGTGGAACTATTAATAGTCGAATAAACCTCGACTTCCGTTTGCTGTGAACGAAACGAGCGTTTCTTTTGTATTTGCATCTATACAAGAGCAGTTTCTATCGCCTCGTGTCACTTTTCTCCGAGTTTTCACCGGGGAAATCTAATCAATGCTTTTCATAAGCGTTTTACGTTGAGGAAAACAGAACGGGTTTCGCTCGCCGGTTACCTAATGGCTTTTTGTGTAAAGTTGTCTCCTTTTATATAAGCGCTGCAATGTTACTGTCATTTGTTATATTGCTCATGCCCGCGGTGGTGTCGTTCTTTACGCCTCACCAAACATCCGACTGTTCTATAAAAGTATTCGCAGACTTATATTTTTCCTATCGCAGACGTATATAGATGATCTTGATTATTTTTCTTTGGTTGAAACATATCTGATATGTTTGGCAGCCGATCCGTCAAATTAAAAACTGCAGTGATATTAACAATTTTATTTAAAAGTTTAATCCCTTAACATGTGTCATCATTCTGCAAATTTGTATCAATCTGCATAAAAAGCAAAATATCGAAGCGCGTTTAACGGACAAACGACGTTACAAAACCCATAGAAATATAAACAAAATTGATACACATTATTAAAATCTTCATAAAATATCTGATATTTTGATGTGCATATGTCTAATGATCATTTTTGACCGCCAAAAATTTAAAAAGTTTTTCATCTTGTTAATACAAGTAAAATGTTTTCTGAATTATCGAAATCGGACGCTCCTTTCTCTTAAAAACCGAGTTACCGTTTTTGGCTCTTTTTGCTCCGTATCTTCGAAACGGCTAGACCTGCCCTTGCAAAAAACTAATCAGCACGTCTCCTTATCAATAGGAATCGAATGTTTTTCAATTAATTAAAATCGGTTGAACGAAGTTTCCGAAATTGTCGACGAAAACTTCGGGAAATTGTATCCGCACACACATACATACACACACACGTATATTCATTTTTTCGAAGGTATGACAAAATGTTCAGAAACCTCTGATATAAAAATTTTCATTTTCGATTTTTTTGCGATTACTATAACCGACCCTAAGGGAAGTTAAAAATAAATATGAATTATATTTCTAAAATAAATTAAACTAAAAATAATAAATTGGAACATCACATCTCGATGAACAAAACCTTTTAAGCATTTAACTCAAAGATAAGGTTAAATGAACCACGCATGGTTTAATCGGCCTTCCAAAGTTAGTGGGGGGCGGTTATACATATGGATGCGATTGAGGCACTCTAAATGGGCCAAAATGAAATTTTTCAAATTTTAATACTTATTTTTGCGACAATGCACAGAATCAGAATTCATTTTAGAGATATGATTTATTCAGTGACGTATTTTATTTTGATCCATTGATTCTGAAAATCATATGTGCCTTCTTTTGCTACTTTTTTACTTATATATATTGATCCGCTCTATTATATATACATATATATATATATATATATATATAGGCTAGGGCGGGGTACAAAGGTCCAATTCAACTCTGAGCAATTGTATTATAAAAACCAAATCAATTATATTAGAACTAAAAAAGCAAATCAACAAATAATTAACTGATTAGTGAAACTTCCAGCCACTTCATCATTGTAGAAGTGCGTATACTTGCTGTTTTTCAAAAATTGGTAACCTGTTTTTTTACCCCACTTATTTTTAATTTTAAAACGATTTCATGAAATAATAGCTGTATTGCTCAATCAAGGCAAAATATAAATAACATTGGGTACATTTTTACATAGGTAACACAGAATATTCCTTGCTTTGGTATTTCTATATTTCTGACCAAAATAATGTTATATACGGTATAATCTTTGTAAAAATGTGACCTAGAAATTTTTTTCACGTTGGATAAATAATTTGCCTATAATTTTATGAAATTCCTTTAAAATTAAAGATGGTATCTGTTTGCTCGATGACTGTTTCTTTTTGCTCAGCCTATGAAGTAAAAATTAGGAATTAACTGAGAATTATACTGAACATAGTTCGATAGTTGTTTATTTATTATGTGATATGTGCTGTGGTATATTTTATTTGGTTTAGACAGTATAACTACAAAAGTCAAATTGGGCTTTTGTGCCCCGCCCTCAAGAAATTTTATTTTTTATGTTACAAATTTTGTGACGCGCAATTGATCAAATTTAAAATTTTATTATGTATTATTGACATATCCCAAAATATATTAGCTTTTTATAAAATATAGACATAGTGGACGTTAAAACGATTGACGAATAATTAATAAATACATAAATTATTAAATTTGGTGCATCTTTTGCAACTAAATTACTTAGTACAAATACTAACTTTGATACCTCATTTTCTATTTTCTATAATGAAGAATAAAAATAGAATAAAATTCCTGCTTATTGCACTCCTCATTTCTGAAAGCTCTATTAGTTTATCTGCATCAAATTAATAGATCATTATCTTGATTTTTTAATATATACGTGGCTGAACATAAAATTTGGCTTCTAAAATATAATTAATTATTTTAAGAAAAAAAGTTAATTATTAAATATTTTCTAAAAGATCTAAAATTTATTAAGTAGTATGATGAATGTGATGTTTTTGCGTAAATCGATGGAGATAGTAGATATCAAATTATTAAGTCTTAATGATAGAATATTAAATATATCTATCAAGTAGATAAGCTTCACTACTGTCGTAGATGTCTTTTAAATTTATGTCTGTCTCATAGAATATCAACTGCACATCTCCTGTTCCTGGTATGTATTAATGTGCGCAAAGTGTTTTTTTCTTTTCATATCTTCAGGGAACCGAATCGATTTTCTCCACCTGTCGTTTGCAAATTGTCACACTGCGTTTCAGAGATAGAAACGATTTTCCGAACAGTATTTTTCTAACGACAAAACGAGTAGCGATGAACACTTACCAAAAAATAAATAAAATTCATATGTTCGTTATTTTTCTGATACGTTGTCATTTACAGAATGTTTCAAAAACTGTTTTGATAAAAATAAACGAAGCGAAATGACATTTTGTCAAAGCCATCGTTAAAGATGAAAAAACGACTTTGATAGCAAATTAATTTTTTTTCTGTTTGTTTCAGAATCTCAAAAATCAAATCATGACGACGAATCTTTGGGTTGAACAGGTAATATATTTAATAATATATATATATATATATATATATATATATATATATATATATACATTTGATATTTAAATGTCTCATCTTTAGTTCAATTATAGTATTTGCAAGTTGCTTATTACTTATACATTATTATTTTTTTATGATCAAATTGTGAAATAATGCCATAATATGCTTCAAACGATAGAAGATAAATCTGAATTATATAAATGTACTGCAATATTTAATAAAAAAACAACTGAAGAATTCATTAAGCAAACAAATTGATTACTTTGCATCGCGTGAAATGATTTTCGGGATAAATTGGATTTTTAATTCAAATCGCTTGATCTCATTAGGCCGCAATGGATTCATAATTTAAAACAAGATATATAATTGCTTTTCATGTTTTTGCTAGAAATAAAATGAGTGGCATATTCAAAGACCTGTCGGAATTAAATATTGGTTCAGCGAGATTCATTAAAATTTATGTTTGTATATGAAGATACATTTTGCAAGTTAACGTATTATATCAAGTGTATATTTGTGTAAGCGATGATAAAAATATTCATATATTTATATGAAAGAAAAAGCTGCTTGTTTATTCATTATTTTGTACTAAATGTATTGAACATCTTTCATATATGAACCTCTGTTTGCAATAATAATTTAGTTAAAAACAAATTTCAGATGATTTTAAAAGATTTACTGTGATAAAATAATTATAAACATAAATTTTAATGAATAAAAAATATTTTAATGAATATATTTATAAAAAAAAGAATCATGCGATCCATCCGAATTCAATCGACTCATTCCAGTTCCAAAAAACTTTGCCGATATCGAAGCTCAAATATGAATTTCAAGCGGTATTTAAATATAGTTTATTTCTAAATATTTTAATTAAAATTACTGTATATTAATATATATTTTTAATCTACTCTAGTTCTTCTTGAGGAAAACTGTGTTAATTCATTCAGGGAGTAAATAAAAAAACGACAATTTTTGTCTAAAATTATTGGAAATCAAATTAAATCGTTCATGAATACCTACTTTCCTTTAAGCTATTTGAAATTTGCATGATGGGTACACAAAAGATTAATACAAGCATTCTCCGGAAGTAGGAAAAATAGGGATATTTTATCCTTATATAAGGAGAAAATGACATAGTGGCTTTATTTAAAAATTGGATAGTTTAAGTAATGTTTCCGCGACCATATAACATGCAGAAAGGCATAATTACATACTTGTCAGATATTGAACTTTATTGTCTCAGTAATCAGTTCAATCGCACTTTGCATCTTGTCAAGTTTATTTTGTGAGAGTTTCTCGTATTTTCATAATTTTAATACTTCAATTATATTCAATCAACTTATGCCAGTACTAGTGATTTCTATTAATTTTATTACAATAATCAGATGTTTGGTGGAATTTTGATTAATTATACATTTTATACACAAAAGAAAATTAGGACGTCCAATGTTTTATTTAATTTTAAAAGTTTTTTTTACCAGATAATAGCTACATTATTCAACCAATGCAAAAAATAAGTTTTTCGGATGAATTTTTTACAAGGACAACACTTGATCTGATATCTCGTCAGAAATATTTTCTTTTGTGAAATTGCTTTTTTTTAACTTAATTTATTGTTTTACACCTTTGCCAGTGTGAAAGTTTAGTTGGTGTCTTTTACCCCATGTGTGTGAGCTTTTATAAAGATTATATGAAAAAAACTGTTAAATCTAAACTAAAATTAGTGGTGTATGGCATCGTATCTCAAAGCAAATTGCTGAAACTTCCCTTACCGTTACGAAATGTTCGAAGAATATTAAATGTTTACAAATAGCTTATTATAAATAAATATTGTAACATTATTTTTTTTTTTTGAAAAGCAATTATTTTATTAAAAAAAGCAACAAGTTTTTTGAATCATTCAATTCGGACGCTAAGTTCTTTCAAAAACTGTCATTTTTTGCACATTTAGCTCTGTGTCTTCGAAATCGCTGGACCTGCTTTTCCAAAAACTAATCACCTCTTCTCCAAATCATTACAAATTGAATGTTTTTCAGATCATGCAAATCGGATACTCTATTCTCTCAAAAACTCTCTATGTATTTTTTGCACTATTTGCTCCGTATCTCCGTAACGGCTGGACCTGTCTTTGCCAAAAACTAATTAGCACATCTCGCTATCAATAGGAAACGAATGTTTTTTGAACCATTCAAATTGGTAAATACTTGGCCCGAAAACATGAAAGAAAAAAATGCGGGTATACAAAACACACACACACACATCCATTTTTTTCTGAAGTATTCCAAAATGATAAGAAACTTTTAAAACGTGAAGATTTGCAAAAATTTTCATTTTCGATTTTCGGCCCATTACTATAACTACCCTACGGGAAGTTAATTAACAATACATTTTATAAAATACATTTTAATGGATTTTTAAACATTCTGTTTTTCGCCTATAGCAATGTCGTAAGAATCAAAGGGGTGTCTGGTTATACATTTTTTTACCTTTATTTTCAAATATTGTTGTTAAAAAAATTCTTAACTTTCCTGATTTTTGATATATTGGTAGTGGGTCTTTCTATCTGCGGACCTTTTATCCCCGCTAGCTCTATATATCTGTATGTATATGTATATGTATATATATATATATATATATATATATATATATATATGTGTGTGTGTGTGTGTGTGTGTGTGTGTGTATCTCGAGTAAATATTACCCTGTGATTTTTTTCTCGAGAGCTATCCTCGAATGTGCTAAATAAGTCAATTGTTTTTCTTGACGTGTGCCGTGATAGAAGTTTCGTTCTCCGTAGTGTCGTCGCGATATGTGTGCGCAACCATAGGAAAAACGGCAACTGAGCGAGCCTGTCTGTTACCAAACTTAATTAAGTCGCTCAAACACGGGGCTCTCTAGAGTTTTCCTAAGTTTTCCTCATGCGAGTTTATCCATTTCCCTCACTCCATCCCTGTGCGCTAACAATACATCGGTAAATATTTAATATGCCAGAAGACCGCGCTACGGTTTTCCGGTACAAACTTATATGAATTTTCCCCAAAGGGCGGTCGGAAATGCTCATGCAGCGCAGTGTATCATGGGCCGTTGTCAAATATTATCTCGACGGAGTACGTTCTCGAATATTAAATTAACGTTGTAAGTGATGGAGATAAACAAAGATTGATAAAGTTTTTTGATATCACAAGTTCAGTTCTTTGTCAAACAATATGGAGCGAAATTCCAGACATCAATTTGTCTTTTAATAAAACTATTAGTTTGGATGACAGAGGCAATATCAAATAATATTTGTCTAATTTGATTATTATAACTAATATTTTCTGATAAATAACTATAGATTATAGGTTTAGAGCGGAGCATAAAAGTCTGCAGGTAAAAATGTTCACCACCAACATCTCAAAATCAAGTAATGTTGGGATTTTTTAAGAACAATATTTGAAAGTAAAGGGAAAAAGGACGTGAATCAACCTTGATTCTTACGACATTACTATCGAGAGATAAACGGTAATGTGTGAAAATGCATAACAAAAATATTTTTGGTATTTGTTAGTTCAGCACTGTTGTTTGGTTTTCGAAAACCTCAATATAATTTTTAAGTATACCTTATTTATTTGTTTTATAAAATATATTGTTAATTGCAAGTTAGATTCAACAGATGTTTTTATATAAGCTCTATATGTGGGTGGGGCAAAAGGACCAACTGAAATTTGCCCTGACAGAAGTGTGAGCAATAAAAATGGTAAATTTTGTTACAAAAAATAAATTAAACTAGTCGGTATTAGTATTTTGCCTTGCGGCAAGTTACATGAGCTTCGTGATAAGTGTAAATAATCGCCTTAATTAATAAAAAATTAATTAATTTATGAGTGATTAAAGGTATTCCGAGTGGATATATAAAAACGAACCAACACCTTAACTCGGAGTATTTTGTAAAAGCAAATTTTCAAAAATCAATAATTTTTATAATTGAACCAGTTTACGTAGGACTTTAATGATTTAGTATGTTCATCGAAACCAAGTACTCGTTATACCAAGTAAACCGTCTAATTTTAATTTTAACAAACGTCAAAAAAAAAAACTACTCATTTTCTCAAACTTTGATGAATTTTTAAAATTAAACTACTTGTCGTAAGGCCGTAATATTTCAGTAAGTCCCACAAGAACATGATACATATCGCCCAAAAAAGTTCCAAATAATTGACCTAAATTTTGATTTCAACAGTTAATTACAAGGAACGGCTCGGTAGATTTCCACCTAAAACCAATCAGTATCATTCCCAACTAATATCTTTCGAGCATATCTTTTGATTTTTTTAAAATCGATTCGGTAGTATGAGCTTAAATGTGGGCGAAAAGTTTAACACTTTCTACCAAATTACAAAGAAACGGCTCGGCCGATCGTCGTGCAAAACTGAGGAACAATAATCCTCATCGAGTTACATCAAATGGCTTTAAAATTTCTGAAATCGGTTCAGGCGTTTTTGAGTAAACTTCGATGAAAGGTCTAATTTTGAAAAATGCCAAAAATACGATACTAATTTTCACAAACTTTGACGATTTTTTAAAGTTAAACGAGTTGTCGTAGGGCCGCAATATTTTAGTATGTTCTATAAGACTATATCTACCGTCAAAAAATAATAAAAAATGATCGAAAAAAAAAAATCTTCAAACACTTTATTAGAAGAAAACGGCCATGCCGATCTTTACTAAAACTAATCAGCATGATTTCCAACCAATATCTTTCGTTCGGTTTTTGAATTTTCATAATCGATCCAGAATTGCGGGCTAAAACGTGGGCGAAATTTTTTTCATTTTTACGCTATTTATAAAGAAACGGCTTGGTCGATCGTCGCACAAAACTGACAAACGATGGTCCTAATCGAGGTACATTGAATGGCTTTTGAATTTTTGAAATCGGTCCAGCCGTTTTTGAAAAAACATCGACTTTCGGCAAAAAATCTGTTCAGGCACACGCACACACACATATTTTTTCCAAATGTAGTCTCATTCGATTCGGAATGGCTTGAAACGTCGAGAAATCATAAAATTAGCGAATCGGATTTTTTGATGAAAACAAACATCTTCTTCGGAAAGTTAAAAAGAAAAAAAAGACTTTTTATTTCTGTTTCTACTTGCACATTCAGTTGCAAGTTTTCGTAACAAAACCTTGTATTCAGAACTTCTGTTTCATCTTGATGCATAGTTCACAATTTTCAAACATTAACTTTAAGACCTCAAGAGAATTTAATATCACGACAAAAAATACAAGATCACAAGTTACATCGTATCTTCTAAGTCTGAGTGAATTTTTAACAAGAACAAACATTATTTGTGCACGCGTTTCCGTACATGTACACAAAGTTATTAATAAATGATGAGGTTATTAAAATTCTGAAATGGTTTTGCTTGAAAATTTCCTCGTTAATTCTTAACCATAGAAATATATGAGAGCATTTATTTACAGTCTTGGTATGATTACAAATTGAAATGGGAGCCGAAGGAGTACGGAGGCGTCGAGATGCTGCACGTCCCTTCGGATCATATTTGGAGGCCGGATATTGTGCTGTATAACAAGTGAGTCCCTACATTTGTTAGATTGATCTTTATCACAGACAATTAATCATAGGAATAATATTTCACACTGACATTTTAGTACAACTATGTTATTTCAACACTTGGTTTTTAGAATTTTGAATGAAGTAAAGAATTTTGAATCATATATGGAATATTGAGTGGTTTTCTGGCATATGTTAGACTCCATCAAATATTTTTATCTTCTATCATAATAATTAATATTTTATAACTAGCAAGTCCTAAAAAAATATTTTTTATTTTTAATAAGTTTCAGATACGAAATATTTTTCCTCATATTCTGAAATGTTCTATGAATTTGCTAAGTTAATTTGTTAAATAAAATTATTTTTGGTTTTTCTAAAAATTTACAGTGGTGTTATCCTTTATCAAAATTCATTTGTGCAAGAAGTTTATTTATTAGTAATAAATTCGACTCAATATTTAAAATTATACCCTATGTCTCGATTTATTCAATCTGAACATATATTAACATTTTTAGCCTTTGCTTACTAAAAAAAATTGTAATATATCAATTTTTATCTGATAAAATGGAGCCTTTTCCAATTAAGAGTGGAATGTGAAATAAGTATGAATCATAACAACCAAAATTATTGTATTTTTCCTAATAAATTTTAAAGATCAATTTTTGTATTTGGGGTGTTCGGTTTATATTTTACAACTTATAAACTTATAATTCAAGAACTTTACTAATTAAGATTTTATGAATTTAGGAAGAAAATACTCTGAAGTAAAAGTATAAGAACAAATAACAATAGATTTTCTCTGAAGTAAAAAGAAAAATATTTAATAACGTATACTAGTATAGTATAGCTATTGAGAATAGTGCGATATATAATATATTTTACATTTGATAGACTATATATAATTTTTATTATATATAATAATTAATTTAATTTTTAATTTTTTGGGCTATAACTTGGAGTAATTACTTCGTAGTAACTATAACAAGGAAGTAATTACTTTCTATTTTTTAGAGATAGCTAAGAAATGCTAATAATTGTAAAGAGAAATATGACTTAATTCTTGATTTCATAAATTATGTTTACAATTATAACAGAGTTTGCACAAAGGCATCAGTTGTTTTAAGAAAAGATTTACTCATGAATTATGATTTGGTCCATCAATAAAATAAAATTGTATTTTTTATTTTGTTCAAGCAATTTAATATTTATGAATTAAAATAAATTTATTCAAAAATATGTTAAATTCTTAGCAAGATTTTTATCTTGAATTTTGGGTTCAATCAAATCAGTTGCAATTGATAGTTTCAAAAATTGAATATTATTTTCAAGATGCATGTAGAAACAAGAATTTAACTGAATTACGTAGTACAGTAAGAACAAGTTGGCTAAATTTAGATACCCTGGACCAGTAGTGCATGAGGAACAACGTTTGTTTTGTTTTTATAAACAAATTATTTAGTCTGAAATAATATAAATTTTGTATTTAAAGATGTCAGTATCTTTATGTAGTAACTTAAAGTGATGCTAAAGTTTAGTTAGATAAAGGGACCGATTCTGCAATGTTATGGCAAGACTATGTTATGAAGAACTTTTCATACAAATTCGTTTTAAATATTGACAAAAGACATGTGGTTGCTATGCATGTAGTTGCAGTCAGGCAATTTTCTCAGGTTGTCAGATAGAAAACATAACCTTGGAACCGCACAAATGTCAGAAAAACGATGTTAGATAATAGAGTCTTTCTGACTAAGGTTCATAATGTACGAGTGACGTTGCAGTTTATGTGTAAAACGGCTGAATGTACAGCAAATACATGATATTTTGACAGTATTCAGTATGATTCAGTAGCATAATGTATGTAAGTTGGAGCGTAACATGACTTTGCCATAACATTTGTCTGTTATGCGGCAGAATCGGTCCCTACATTATAATAATGTAAAATTCAGATTATTAAAGTTCTGATTTACGGTTTTCATCGTTATTTTTCTAATTATGCATCAGGAATAGAAATTATATGCAGGACGAGCATGAATTTCTCATAAAATTTGTCAAAAAATATATATGGGTTAGGTTAGGAAAAGTCCAGCAAAACAATTCAAATTCATTTATTTTAACAAAATTTTATTTAATTTATTGGTTTTAACACGGTTTTCAAAGTGACGCTTTTTTATAAGAAAAACCTAAATTTAAACCTAAATGTTTCTTATATGTACTTGACCAACAAACTCGTGTTCCTAAACTTTCCCAAATTGCTGTAATTGGAATCAGAAACTGAAAACTTTAAATTTTCCCAGTGCCGACGGAAACTTCGAGGTGACTTTGGCGACCAAAGCCACGCTGAACTACACAGGCCGAGTCGAGTGGCGGCCGCCCGCCATTTACAAGAGTTCCTGCGAAATCGACGTCGAATATTTCCCGTTCGACGAACAGACGTGTGTCATGAAGTTCGGATCGTGGACGTACGACGGGTTTCAGGTGAGATTTATAATATATTTAATAATACTAATTGGTAAACTAGTAACTTCCCGAAACTTTTTTTTTTGAAAATTGTAAAAATTACATTTTTGAGAATTTTCATTTCTTTTAGACAGTTGTGACTCATGCGATTATAGATCCGTAACATATTATTTCTTTTTATCCGAAATTTGGCCCCTGAACGTGCTTTTGGTTAAATTCGAATTTAATTTCCCTTTAAGTTATTGTTTGGTTTGATCGAAAATTAATTTTTGCTTGATTATTAGTAGACACAGCCTTCCTATAAGGGTTACTATGACTGAATTGTTGAATTCATTTCATATGTGTTTATTACAGACCAATACGGATACGTTAAATTATATTGTTAATTATGAGTCCGATTATTACTGCAGCATCCTCATAATTAAATACTATAAGTGATTATTGACTCGATTATGGTTTTGCATATTGATAATTTAGTACCAAGTGTTAATGAAAGTATTTCGATTCGAGCTCGATTAGAGCACATCAAGCTTGAATTGAAATACTTTCATTAACCCTTGGTACTAAATTAATAATATGCGAACCATAATCAAGCCAATAATCACCCATAGCCCATGAAATTCACAGTGTCTCTCGTTGCAATCAATTTTGTATCGAAATGTAAATAAAAATTTAGGATTTTATAAAATATCAATTCATATAACTAAAGATCATAATATTCTAGAAATTAAACTGTTTTTTGTCTGCAATTGTTGACTATTTGCATCTTTGGCAAGGGTTTTGACACTTTCTAGTTGCCTGAAAACATGGTACACCCCATACTATCAAACGACATTTAGAGAATTGTTCATAAAGTAATTTTGTAACCCTTTGGCGAGTAAAATACAATTAGCAAGTGGTTATAAACTATTGAATTTGATAAATTTAACATCTCGTACATACAATTTGTGTGTGAGTGTTAGGGTTTATATTGTTATAATGCCAAAACAATCTGTCTATTTCATGAATGCACTGGTTAATTGTTAGTTTGGAATTGAAATCTATTATAGGGCCACCAGATAGCTGTCTTTTTAGCTGTAAATTTAGTTTTCTAAGTTACTACTTAACTTAAAATTACCTAAAATCATTTTTTGAAAATTGAGTACATGAACAAAACCATGTGGAACAACTAAAAATTAGCAAAAGATTGACTTTGATCATTGTGGAGTATGGAATCAGGGTTATAGGGATAAATCAGATTTACAAACTTTAATCAAATTATGATAACTTACTTAAAGTAAACTAGTGGTGCATGACATCGTGGCTTAAGGAAATTAAATAATTTTTGGATAATTCAATTCGGTTAAGTGGTACTCCCGAAAACTTCGATGAAAAATTGTATCCATACATACATACATACTATATTCACACATATACGCTCACATCAATTTTTTCTAAGGTATGCCAAAATGTTCAGAAACGTGCTTATATGCAAAAACGTTCATTTTCGATTTTTGGACGATTACTATAACTTCGATTATGACACAAGTCGAATTTAGGAAAATAAAACACGATTCAGTAAATCGTCTAAGATCAATGTTTTTTCAGTATATAAATCCTAAAATTATCTTTCTTAAAATGATAGGATGACTAATGTTAAAAATGTTTGGGATTGATCATATGCTCAGAGATCATCGTTTTATATTGTTCAGGATTTTTCGAGTAACAAAGATATTTTTATATATTGGGAGCTTTTACTAATATAAGAAAATTTAAGAAAACATAATTATCCCTAGGGCTCCCTTTTTAAATGTGAATATATTCTTTTGGGCATAAAATGGCGAAAATCCCTAGAACTGTATTTTCTATGCCAGAATAAAATTTGATATAAAAAAAATCAAATGGTTATTCCAAAGTTGGTTTCTTTAACTAAGTTGTCATCCACCAACTACCTCGAAATGATATCTGAACATCATTGCAAAAACAGAATCCATATACCCACTATCATAACTTATTATGATCGGAACTCAATTTTATTTACACGACATGTATCCTATGTGACATATATTAAAGATTCATTGCAGGTGTCTCTGTCATAAAACTGCAGCAAGTGCAATAAGGAATTTGATGCGATAAAACTTATTTGCTCCTTGTGATGGGGCGATATAAGCAACCGCTTTGCGAATTCTCTCAACTATTATATATAGCTGGAAAATAAAACTTGTACCATGACCAATATATGAACGATGTCTCTGCATTCATTCACGATGTTTAATAAATTTTATTTCGCATTACTAACATGAACGGAATGCTAGACAGAGTTTTCTACATTGATAAGTATGCTTTTTCTTGTGACAGCGGTTATAAAAAGAGTTAAGGTATTCTATTTATGAAGAAACTTTGGCGCAATATCGAAATTTAAACCATTTTTTAATGCTACCATTAGAAAGGTTCTGTTATTTTTCGCTGGTTGCATTAACCAATGCCATTACCAAAAAAATAATGTAAATGGCATATATGCATGATGTGTGGCTTGAGTGGCTAATATCATTCATCTTCTTATACTTCTTGCATCTAGGCATTA